CGTCTCGGATGATGACAGAGTCTGCTCTCTCCCTCGTCTTCTTGCGGCCAGCCGCATCACAAAATATCCCGCATATATATATATATATATATATATATATCTAACGGATGACGAAAACTCAACCTTACGGATTAGTAACCGACGGAAATAATTTTTCACAAAATCTGTCATCGGCCGTTACGAATCGCTTGTTGTGTCGCTCGGATTTAGTTATTCGCATCACTGTAGCATCACAATAGCTTGAATCGACTTGTATTTATGTGATGCGTACACACTTGTGACGCCGTCGATATTGTTCAGATTAATGAAAATTTTCATTAAAGTTTACGGACCTCACGCAAGATAAAACCCTTTGGTAGAATGGAAATACGATTAGTACGGTTTTAGTGCGTTTGAAAGAAAATATTATGTGTCACCGTGGCATAATCAATCATCGAGCATTTGTCAGTTTTTGCAAAGTTTTTGGAATGTGTTCTACGAAGTATTCATGCGGAATAATCCGGATATGATTTCACACAGTCCACGATGGTGTTCGATGCAGACGCCTTTAATTTGTTTCTGATGACTATGGAAAAAATTTTCACTAAAGTTTACGGACCTCACGCAAAATAAAACCCTTTAATAGAATGGAAATACGGTTAGTACGGTTTTAGTGCGTTTGAAAGAAAATATTATGTGTCACCATGGCATAATCAATCATCATGCATTTGCCAATTTTTGCGAAGTTTTCGAGATGTGTTCTATGAAGTATTCATGCGGAACATCCCGGAAATAACACAATAATATTCGATGCATTCAGAGTATTTCTGATCCTTGTGGCTTAAAAGAACTTTCCTTTGACAGCGTGGAATTAAGTTCGATTTGCATAAATTTTTCGGATTTGGAAAAGGGAAACGATCCCCCGAAATGCTGACAGTCATCTTGAAATAACATTGTTCCAACTATCGAGTGGTCTTCACAGTCGACTCAACGATCGCGGAAGAAAAGACTCATTGTGAAGATTTCACTCACGTACGGACACGTTTAAGTTTCAGGTTTCCGAAAAAAGTCCCCATTATTCTATTATTGTTATTTCTAACAAATAAGTGTTTTGATTTTTGCTTGTTTCTAATAATCGCGCGAAAGAAAAGCGCCCGTAGATCCTGGCACGCGTCCGAATCGCGTACGTGCGCGGAGCTCCAACGGTCAGGATGAAGAAGATGAGGAAAGAGGTAACGGACGGAAAGAAGCACGAACGGAAAGGATGGAGATACTCGGGAGATCCGAGTTGAGTTCTCTCGGAGCCCAAAGGATACGCGTAGGCGTCGAGTGTGAGCTTGTGTCGCGCGAGTCACCACTCTCGGTTGCCCGGAGCGTTTCGCCGTCCGTCATTCTGTCCGCCCGTCCGTATTTCGTGGCGCGCACTCACACACATCGCCCGCCAACTCCGCGCGTACACGCATCCAACGTACCGCCAATCATGCAACGCACGCGGGCCGCGCAGCAAATGAACCCGCTTTTCGGACCCGCTCGTGAGCGCGATTATCGCGTCTGTCTTCTGCTTTTGTTCACGATCCTGGACTAAAGTCGCCGATCCAACGTTTTTCTCCTCTCGGTCGGTCGTTTTATTTATTTTATTATTATTTTTTTTTTATCGATCGCGAGATTGAATCGTCAGTTTCCGCGAACAGAGTCGGAGGAGACGAAAATCGGCGAACATTTCTTCGTCCCAGAATTCTGGCGGGGCAAAATTAAAATTGCTCCAACGGCGCAACAAGACTTGAGATCGTTCGGCGAGGAAGCCGTTCGCGCACGATCGAACACAAACTCGAGAGCGACTAATCGACGTTGTTATAAATGCCCGTGGCGCGGCCGCTGAGCGATACACGCCTGCGGTATCGCGGGTGGCCGGCTTTCGCGCCGCGACCATCGCCGCCCGATCGTATATCGGTAAGTACAACTTCGTTTCTGCCGCGTATGGAGATGTTATACCCCCGCGCGCGTACTCCACCCGCGGTCTGTGTTACCGCGTAAAATGCCTCGCGCACGCATACTGGCGCGCGCGCGCGTGCCGGTGCGACGCGCGCGAATTCCTTTTTTCTCTCACGGCGGCGGCCGATTCTCAGCGGCCGATACACGATATTCGCGCGCCCCGACGGGTATCTCTCGCGCGCGAGAAGGAGAGACGAGGAAATTAAATTTACGATTCGCGCGGTGCGTTCGATTTCAATTTGCATAAGCAGTAAATACGCTCGGCATTGAGTTACGCAACGAGTAGCGCGCGCGCGCGCAGCGAAGCTTCGTTTCGGATATTTTCACACACGCGGATGTGAAAATATTGCTTGTTCGCGCGAGGAGCGGTCGGGAATATCACATTGTGCAACTCGAAGCCCGCGGGATTAATGACCGAAGAGGATCGGTTCTTTTTATGATAATCGCGGATGAAATCGATATAACTGGGTACTACGCGCCCAAGCAATAACGTGGTCGTTTTATTGCTGGATCGTTTTTCGGAAAAACCGTCCGAGCGCGGCGGAATAGTCTCTCGCTCGTTGTCGCGAGAAAAATGTTCTCCCGATACGTGCGTATTGCGTTTTAAGTAACCGAACATCGTCTCTCTATCGGGTTTCCGAAAAAATTTCGAATATATAAACGCGTAATATAAATATGCGCAGATGATGCGCGGAGATATCGCGAGGCGGCGGCGCGTCGTGAGAATTTTTCTGGCCACGTTGCTATTCATGCGAGCTGACGCGGTGAACGACGGATCGATCGATATACACAAATCGGCAGTAAGCGTAACATTGAAGGGCGTAATCTCGGCGATCGAAATTACTCGTCGCGGGACGAAAAGCGACGCGGACGGACGTGGAGGAAAAAATTTCGGCGATATCGCGTTATCGACGCTTCGACGACTCCTTAAATCAGCGGTGGTGGGTCGCGGCCGAAGGTAACGAGGGGCAAGGGGGGAGGGGAAACGAAGAGGAACACTCCTCTCCCTTGTGGGCTCTTTTATTTTCTTTTTCTCAGCGCCGTGACGAAGAGGGGACACGCGCATGCAGATCACGTCGGTTGTAGCCGAAGTGATAGCGTATCTGTGGGCGGCGCGCGCGTGTGGTCCTTCTATGTCCCCTCGGTGTTTCCCTCCGGTTCTCTCCCTTTCCTCGCTCGTTCCACACGCTCGAGGGTATACTTTGCTCCATTCCGAATCATCACGAGCCGCGATCCTTTTTCACGATGGCCCACCTCCGCTTCTCTTTATTTATCGGAGCGCATTACACGCGCCCCGTTTTACGGGCGACGCGCTTTCGATAATAATATTGGTTACAACACACGAATCGTCTTAATTAGAAATGCGTTCCGCGTTGGCAGTTTAATCCGCAATGTGATTATAAAATCGCCCACGCGGCTTCGGCCACCCCGCGTGTATAATCAGCGCGAGCGTTAAATTCTGTAATTTTCCCCGACAAGCTTTTCTGGTAATGAAAGAGTACGTGTACGCGATAACGTATTGCGCACATATTGCGAGGGCGAATTATCGCGCGTGGGAATAATTTTTGCAATTACTTTTGATTTAATAATCGGGACGAGCAATTTTCGGGATGGATTTTAACCGGCGCGCAGATGTTTTCAAACCTCACGTAGAGAAGGATAATTTGTCAGAGCGTTGGATTATTTTGTTCGTCAACACGGTCAGAATCGTGTTATTTCTCGTAGATTTTTCTCTCAAAACGCAACACCTCGATCCTAGATAAACACCGAGAAGAAAACTTTTTTTCTACATCTCACACTTTGCAGGAATTAAAGATCTATTCTTTCGCAGTGCCGAAGTTTTGACGTTGTCAAAATACGTGCTTGTGGGCATACGTTGCTTCAAAGAAGATAGAGAGAGAGAGAGAGAGAACATCCGGAAGACGTATTTAAAATTCGGTATACTAAAACAACATCTTCAACAAAGTTTTTCCCGTTACTGACGGTACAGAAACTTGAAAACGCAAACGCGACGTAAAACGCCCATCGAGAAGTCATTCCGGTCGCGGATCCCGAACCGGCGGCATCAACCATCCCCCGCGCGTTTCCCTCTCCGTTCGCATGTATGTATATGTATCCCGACGTCCGTAAACACGATTTTGCCAACACGGGTTTTGCGGTAAAACGACGGGCCGTAATTCGCGGTAAAACGTCCACCGGTAAGAATTTATGAAAGCTCGCTTGGGAGTCTGGGTTTACGTGCGCATATACACGAGCAAACGTAGCACGTATGCTTCTTGTGAGACGACGACGACGACGACGACGACGACGATGACGATGACCACGACGACGAGGACGGTGACGACGGCGACGATGAGACAGCCGGTCGACCGGTCGCGCAGGCTTCTCCTTATCGACGGGTCCCCCGTCTTTGGACACCTCCGGGGGATCCGAAATAGCGTCGTTCGGGCCCCACCTCCTCTCTTTCCACTTTCTTCCTTCGAGAAAAGAAACGTAACTCTAGACGTATCGCGGTGTCATGTCCTGCACGCACCTGGCGGCTCCGTTCTTTGTAACACAATACACGCGTTTCGTTCCTCCCGCTTCTCCTGCTCCACCCCCTTGCACACCTCATCCACCTCTTCGTCTTCTCCTCCGCCTTGCTCTTTTGTCTCTCGTCTTCCTTGGCTCGTCATCAGCTTATACCCGGTCCGGATATGTGGAACGGATTAAAAAAAAAAAAAAAAAAAAAAAGAGGAGACAAAAATCTCTTGGTTTTAATACCCCGAGGGAGGAATGGAATTCGGCCGGACCTCGAAAAGTAAAACGAAGTCAATGCTGTCAATAACGATTTCAACACTTTTTTTCTGTCGGAATTTAATTTTCTCTCTTTTTTTTTTTTTTGGTATCAAAGCGAAATGTAACAAACTGCTTTGAATGCGAAACAAAAGATCTACAGATCTGATCGCAAGTGCTCGAGAGTCTCGTCGTTCAGTTCGGGGAGGAGCGAATAAATCGTGGGCGCAGTTTACCGACTGTGAGTTAAAAAATAATAATAAAGGTTTATTTTTTTTTTACACACAAGGAAAAACACAACGTACAGCAAACACGTGCAGCGAGTACACGATCCGAAAAAAAAAAAAAACGGACGAGCAGGTCCCTCTCGTCGTTTCCCGAGTATCAGCACCTGCGTGTCGCGCGTACATAAAATCAATTATACAAGTCTAAACGTGTGTGCATACGATCTTATCGTGATAACAATGATTACGCTCTAAACATTAACAATGATAGATATATATATATATATATATATATGTATATATATATATAGATAAGTCAAGTATAGATACAATGTGTGTGAGAGCTTGGCGAGCTCGAGTATAGAGATCGAAACCTTAACGTAGCCGCGCACATGTGCGAATTGATTGCAAGTCCTTTTCGGAAACGATGATCGGTTCAGATCCGTCCACGTTGAACAAAAAAAAACGCCCGCCGCGGGCGACAAAATTGTCTCGTCGTGATGAAGAGTCCGTGTAACGAAGACGCACTAAGATGTCTCTTGAAGAACAATGGTGCTCGAACCGGAAACGGGTATTCCCGTCGGCGGTGGCGACGTGGATACACCCAGGTTGTGAGTCAACGAGTGTCTTCTCAGATCACAGTTCCTGCGGAAGACCTTGCCGCAGGAGGTGCAGTGATAGGGCTTGATGTCCGTGTGCGTGAGAAGGTGAGTCTTCAGGTTGCTGCGCTGATTGAAACTACGCGCGCAGACCGGACACTTGTGCGGCGACTCCTCCATGTGCAAAATTTTGTGAACAGCCAGGGTCCTGCTCTGGCAAAATCCTTTGCCGCACTCGGCGCATTTGAACGGTTTCTCTTTGCTGTGGATGTACCTGCAATCGAAGAGAAAGGACCATTTTTCGATCCGCCGGAAGAATGACTTTGTCGAAATATTTTTGAAAACATTTATTGTAAAGTAAAATACGCGCGCAAATGCTTACTTAAAAATTTAGGAGCTACGAATGCTCGTGCAGAGTTTTCGCTCGATCTACTTTCGAAGATTAAAAAGAAAGAAAAAATAAGAGATGTTGTTTAACGCGATTTAATATTACATTAAGCGTCAATTATCGCGTCGGCAAAGATACGAGTGAATTAATGAATTGCGACAAGTTGGTCATTAAACATAATATACACGTCATTCGATCCTCGTTCGTAATTACGCGCAAAGGAAAATCCTGTTTCACAGATTTGTGTCCGTTCGTAAGTCCCACGTATGTTCGTAATTAATTGCGACGCGCTAAAGAGATAAGCACGCGCGGTCTTTAAATAATCATGTCTCCCGATTACGAATGTAATGTGAATAAATAACTTCGATAAATAACTCTAATAATTTTACACTCTATAAGTTTTCGCGCAGTTTTTTTTTTTAATGTAACATATGTATGTACGCTTGTTTACGTTGAAATTGTTTTTTGATTTAAAAGATCGTTAATTATATAATTTACACGGTATTAATTTACCATCAACGCTCGCAGCAATTAATTATTCCCATCGCGAATAAGTGAAAGACGATCATCGATGTAACGGACGATCGAATGTCTGTTGAAAAAACAAAACAAAACAAAAAAATATTACCTGTGGTCTCTCAGATGATCCTGCCGTCGGAAGGCCTTGTTGCATATGTCGCACGAATACGGTCGCTCGTCGGTATGCGTTCTCTCGTGGATCAGCAAATTATAGCTCTTTGTGAACTGGCGGCTGCAGAACCTACAAATGAACTGTTTCTTAGGTCTGGACGTGCGGCAAGTCCTTGGTACACTCGAGTCCACCGCGGCCGACGAGGCGTGTTGCGCGGACGACGAGGACGACGACGAGGACGAGGCTGAGGAACAACCCGACGAGGTCAGAGACGCCGGGACGATCAAGGACGACGATTGGGAGACCGTCGTCGTGCTGGTCGACGACGTGCTCGCGCGATTTCCTTCGGATATTCTTCGCAAAAGCAGCTCGTGATTCGCGGAAGAAGCAACCGAGCCGGGCGCTTCGCGCAACAGAATCTCCTCCTCTTCGAGAAGCGCCAGGTCTTCCTCGGCGTCGGTCACGAAATCCAACCGGGCCTCGTCGTCCTCACCGATCGAAGCGGCCGCCGATCGAAGTAGCTGATCGGCCGTCAAGTGGTCGGTCTTCACAGCGGCGGCGTCGACGTTCGCGCTCAACGACGCGCATCTCTGATTGCCGACGACCGTCGCGGTGCCACTCGCTGTTTGCGCGATGCCGGAAGTCGCGCCGCTCGCGTGAAGACGATGTAACGTGAGATACGTGTCCAGTGCCTGCAGATTCAGAGCCGCCGCGGCCGCGTGCCCCGGTGGCAGAAGCGCCGCTCGTTGCAGCGCGGACAGAAGAGCGCCCTGCAACCGCAGGGTGAAACTTTGGAGCAGTTCGGAGCCGGTCGCGAGGCCCGCAACGTCCGTTTCCCGCAACTCCGCCGCGAGCGCGGTCGACGTGGACGAGGTGGTTGGCACCATTACGAGTCTTCGTTGCTCCTGTTGTTCTTGGTCCTGCTGCTGTTCCTGCTGCTGCTGCTGTTGCTGTTGCTGCTGCATCCTCCAACGCCGTTACAATCGTCCCGGATTAACCTCTGGAACGCGCGTCTCCCGTGTTCCCCCGGTATCATTGGCAAGGCGATCGGACGATGTACCGAGCTGTGTACCGAGACCGATCCCGAGGTGTGTCGTGGTGTGTGCGCGCCCTTACCGGTACTCGTCCTCCGTGCGGTACACCGATTGCACGACGTAGAAACGAGCTCGTTCGCGCGTCACATATTCCTTCACTGATTACAGCGTATTTGCGGGAACGCGTAAAGAAGGTACACGCACACGATGCTCGCGGTGCGAAGACGCCCCGATGACTGCTTCTACCTCCCGCTGCTGGGTACCGCTGGTGGAGCCACCTCGTGGCCGGTATCCGAGTCAAAATGGGCCTATCGCGGGGAACGGGCCTCACGGATTCAGGAGAGAGAAAACCGCGCAGCTGGTCCGCGAGGCCGAGATCGCTATAGCCCGTTTCGTCGGGCCCCGATCGCGCTCGTACGTGGGGCCCGCCGCGCGGTCGCCTGACGTGTAGGCGCTTAGCCTACGATCAAGCGAACGCGCACGCACGCACGCACGCACGGTACGTGTGCGGGGGGAATCCGGAAACGTGAATCGCGATCGCGATCGCGGGTCAACAGCTGTTTAACCCGCGAGTGCTCCCTTCGAATGACAAACATTCCTTCGAGCGAGCGAAGGAGATTTGCTATAGAAATATCAGACAATTTCGAGATGTAAGGACAACTTTGCATTGTATTGTTACTTTGATTCAGATAATAAAATCAATATGATGTGAATATTGTAATTGTTTCTTTCCTACTTGAGTTGGGTATTACTCGTTAGACGTTAATTGGTTCTGAAGACGATCGATATCCGCGTCCCCAATATCTCAATGGACGTCGCGCGGAAGGGGGGCGGAAAAGGGGACGCAAAGCTGAGTGAATAGTAATCCAGCTTTGGGAAAAAAAAAAAAAAAAAGGCATCTCCGTGGTATTCGTGTGCCGCGCGGGTTTCGTTCCGACTCGGACTCGGCAAAGCCGCAACAATTTACGACGGCAATTAATGCGCGCGAGTAAGCCGTGTATAGCGCCTATAGTTAGCTGCCTCTTGAGTGCCGGGACCGTAGTACCGAAAGCGAGGGAGAGAAAGAGAGACATTCCGTACACGCGCTCTCGTACGCGCACGTGAGAGACAAGAGAAAAGAAGCGAGCAAACCGAGCAAGAAAGAGAGAAAGAGAGTAAGGAAGGATGTGAGAACAAGAGGGAAGTACGATGGACTACGGATACAGAGAAGGAGTGAGAAGAACTCATCCAGGGAAAGGCGCGAGAGAGAGAGACGATCGAAGTGGAAAAGGGCGCGGTAGGAGAGGCGAGAGGTGGGAAGGAGGAGAGGAGAGTGCGCGAGCGCGGCCGAGAGAGAAGAGAGGCGAACCGAGAGGCACATCGGGCAGACTAAATAATATTATAGGTGGTGTTCTCACGGTCCCGGGACGCCCGCGGGCCAACTCGTCACCCCTCTCTCCGCTCACAGTCCCTCTTCCATGTCTTATTCTCTCCTCCCGCTCTCTCTCCCTCCGTGGCCGCCTCTTACTCCCCCGCGCGTAAGCTTCGCCCACGCCGGGCCCTCACGGAGGGCCCCACGGAGTCGTTTGAGTCCCGCCGGTGGGACGCACGAAGGGTCATAGGTCACCCCGCGCTCGCTGACCGTCACCGTGGACGGTTCCTCTTCTCTTCTCTCCTCCGCCCCGTCTCCCTTTTCTCTGTTCTCCCCTCGGCTCGTCCCCCACGTCTCGAGAAGGGTCCTAGCTGTCCCTTTTCCCCGCGCGAGTCCGTTCTTTTACTCCCCTTTCGCAACTTTGAGAGTCCGACTTTTCTCGTCTCTCTTTTTCTCGTCTCGATGAAATCCTCCTCCGTCTAGTTAATCAAGTAGCGAGTTAATTGCCCCGGCTAGGGCACGTGAATGCAGCGTCCGCGACATCCGCAGGACTTTATTTGGACATGCTGACGTGTGGCGCGCTGCTTATATATATTTCCAAACTGGTCTGGGTTAGAATGACGGAGCGGGATACGTCACGTCAAGTATGCGCTCGTATCTCAACGTGTGGATTCATTATGCACCTACGTGTGACGACGACGTATTAACATGCGAGGGTCACAGAGTAATGTCAATGCTCTCGCATTGTCTACAACATTGTATGTACGTGTCCGCGGAACCACGATGTGAAATCTTCACACATATACCGCCGTCGAGCGGTAATCGAGCGTCATTCCGTTGCGTCATCGTCGGAATTCTACGCTCGAAATTTCGACGTCTACATCGTTGTCTTCGCCCGTTCGACAAATTGAAACCGATACAACAGAAGTGTTGAAATCGTAGACAATAGAATACAAAAACTGGAATTTCGCAAAGATCGCGCGCAAAACTAGTCCGTCCGTTTTCTTCCCAAAATACCATCCCAACACCTGCGAATCGAGCGCGATTTTATCGCGCGCGGCCAAAGAGAGCTGTTTCGAAGCTGTGTGGCGTCCCAAAACGATTCGGCCGACGAGCAACCAACTCCTGCTCGTCACTCGGTTTGCTCTTGTTTCCTCAATGCGGGGAAGCGCGCAGAGGGAGGCCGCGACATCCCGCCGCGTAGATAATTAGATCGCTACTAAGCACCTCCGCTTTCACGCATCTTCACCTCCGCGGTTCGCGCACTGCTTGGGCACTTGTTTCTCCGCTTGTTTCCCGCCACCTCCCGTCCCGTTACCTCTCCTCCCTCCTCTCTCAACCCCCCCGCGCGAAGTTCTCGCCCCGTTTGTTTCTCTTTGACTACATGCGCGCTCACGGCGTGATACAACCGGTCATCCCTCCCCCCTCGACGTGATAAAGGAAAGCACGCATCGCTGCTACTTTGACCCGCCACGTGATGTTGAACGCACGCGTCTTTTTGCTCCGCCGCGAGCTTCTTCTCTTCGTATTTTTTTCAGTTTGTTTTTTTTTTTTTTTAATTTATTTATTTATTTAATGTACACATACCGTGTATGCAATAAACGCAATAAAACAAATTTTCTGAACAACATTGTTCTTGTTGCAGAAATGCCGTGGTTTTCAGAAGAACGACTTGTGCGAGAGGCAGACAACAAAGAAACGAGCCCGATGTGTTCGGGCTCTCTTGCACGTCGTCACCTATAAAATCTCGCCTAAATCTTCGCCTCGCGTTCTTTAGCTCTTTTTCTCGCTAGCTCGTTCGTTTCCCCCCTTCGGTCGTTCGATTCTTTCTCCGTCTAACCGATTACACGCTCGTTGGTGCCGCAACACTCTCTCGCTCTCTCTCTCTTGCGCGCGCGCGCGCGCGCGAGAGACGGCCGGTACACAAAGACGCGGAATGACTGGAATGAACGAGCGGATCGGGGGAGGAAGATAAAGAGAGAACGGAGGGCACGCGGACGTCCGAGGACTTCCCTCCGCTCGGGGGAAGGGGATCGCGAGATTGATTTGTCCAATTACGCTAAACAATCCCCGGGATAATTCGATCGCCCGGGTATTACCTCTGGGACCGTTTCGCGAGAGATCGTCCGGCTCTCAGCGGACTTTCTGCAATTTGTGAATGTAAATTCCCGTTCCCTTCGCATTACACGTCTCACGACGCGAAATTAGCGGATTCGTCGGCCAAACGAGCCCACGAATTTATCGTGTGTTCGCGAACGCGACGGATCGTTAGCTCCGCTTTTGACTAATGGACCCGTCGTGCCTCTCTCCTTCTATCTCTCGTCGCGAAAGCAACAAGAAAGAAAACACACCGTTCAATAAGACAAACGTGTCACTTACGCTTTGCGCGAATTGACCTTTCCCTCTTCCCGCTCTCCCCGAGAACGTGTGGACGCACTCGCGAATCGCGTCGAAAAATCAGAGCTGGTGGTAATTAACGAGAGAATATCGAGGAAGCGATGATTAAACCGATTGATTTCGTGATGCATGACTGCTCATTTATTTAATTGAAGCCTTACTTCTTGACAGGCTCGTGAGCGATCGTTAGATATTTATTTCGCACAGATCGGGTTCGTCAGCGGACCGAGTGTGTAAGAACGCGAGTATCGCTCGTCTTCCTCGTGAGCCAGACTCCAAATGTGTGTGAATAATATGTACATTAAAAAAAAAAAAAAAAAAAAAAAAAAGTGTCTTTTGTTTGACAATCGTTCAATAATGTATAATATGAAAAAAAGATGTACTATACTAAAAAACGAAGAGTCCATAATATTACATCAGGCGCTCATAAAAAAAAAAAAAAAAAAAAAAGAAGAAGACCCAAAATATAATTATCTTCTCAAAACAAGTGACGTCAAAATACACACTCTCTCGGTCATAATTCGGTTCTCGACGTCGATTTACTCGACGTCTGGCGATGACAAAATTCTACACAACGCGGTAAAAATTCGTGTTTGATAAATCACAGTCTAATAATCATACTTTCACCAACTGATCCAGACATGAATTATGTCATTAGCGTGTTCCACGTATGTGTGTGTGTGTATACATCTCTTTTTTTTTCAAACGTACGAATCAACACACACACGCTGGGCGAACGAAGAGTTTAAGTGGTTTGTAAGATTAATACATATATATTACGTATGTATCCGTGAAAAAATATACGCGGTGTATACCCGTGGTCTCTCGTTAATAGAGCGCGCGGTCTATTCACGGCGAACTCTGATTATATCGGGAATTAAAAATGAAGTGAAAAATGATTTACTTCGTTACACACGCGTGTAACGCGCACCGAACGGGCCGCTCCCGCTCTTTCACACAAAGTGTGTGTGCTCCCTGTCGCGCGCACCCGGCCCCGGATTCTATTATATCTCCCGAAACCGGGATGTGCCGGTCAACGAAACAAATGTGATACTTTCAGCACCGCCGCCTCTCGGTGCCCGGCGAGTCTCCGTCCCGTTTCTCTCTCTCGCGCATAAATAACACATAACTCTCTAACCTCGACGAAGGGACTCCTTTCTTTTTTTTTTTTTTTTTTTTTTTTTCATTATCGAAGATGAGAAGGTGGCTAGAGAAGAGAGGTTTATTCTCCACCTCCGATGAAAAAGAGACGGGAGACAACGGCGCGGCGCGGCCCCGCGGGAACGGAGTTCCCTTCGACGAGAAGTTGGGAACGTATCACCGGGAGGCGAAGCGTGATTCCATTAGTCAGGACCTCACCACCACCGACACGCACCGTCGTTTTTTTTTTTCTAAAGCGCCGTTTACACATTTGAACCGGACCCCGGGTTCTCTTTACCACCTACGTACGATCCCATTACACGGGTGTCACGAAATTAATCCTCTTCACGAAAATCGCGCTGCGAAAACAGAAACGTAGAAAGAGAAAGGAGAGGAACGACAGGCCGTTTTGCC